AGATGCTGAAGCCATGGTACATTCAAGTCATTAAAGTTACTGCCTTGATCAGCTCTCTGTACATCAAGCCATCTTTTGATCACTCAACTTTTTTTTTTTTTGAGACAGAGTTTCGCTCTTGTTACCCAGGCTGGAGTGCAATGACGCGATCTTGGCTCACCACACCCTCCGCCTCCTGGGTTCAGGCAATCCTCCTGCCTCAGCCTCCTGAGTAGCTGGGATTACAGGCACACACCACCATGCCTGGCTAATTTTTTGTATTTTTAGTAGAGATGGGGTTTCACCATGTTGACCAGGATGGTCTAGATCTCTTGACCTTGTGATCCACCCACCTCGGCCTCCCAAAGTGCTGGGATTACAAGCGTGAGCCACTGCACCCGGCAATCACTCAACTTCTTTTTAGCCCTTTCCTTGCTAAATTTTCCTCCAGGCTCGTAATTTGTAAAAATTGCTATCTGTGGGTGTTAGATTTAGTTTGGGGGGTCTTTGGGGGAATATCTCCACCCCACAATGGCCCTCCAGCCATGTGAAGTAGCATTGTGTCCTGTAAATTTTTTCTTCCCTGGGGAGACAGCCCTAGTCCCATCAGCTCATAGTCTAGAGACCCCTCTTCATCCTGTGGAGCACAGGACCTGAAACAGATGTTGTCAAAAGATTTGATCTCCAGTTGACTTTCTCACTTTTTTATCTGTGAGCATCTGAAGAGCTGCAAAAATTGCTCTAAAAAAGACAGTCCAAACCGACTAAATTGGCAGCCCATTAGAAGCTATTGTCTAGCCAATTACTCTTCACATAGTAGGAAAAAAGGAGAGAGAAAGGCAGGACTATTTTATCCACTAATATTCTGCCATGTTAATAAATTTCCTGCTGAAGTGTTGCTTGCTGTGTCATATAACTTTTTTAAATTTTTCACATCAACTAGAATAATATTGGTTCTTTTTCTGATATTTTTTTCTAAACTTTACAAGTAAAATAGATCTTTTATAACATAGCCCACCTTAAAGAGTAAAGATCTAGGCCGGGCGCGGTGGCTCAAGCCTGTAATCCCAGCACTTTGGGAGGCCGAGGCGGGTGGATCACGAGGTCAAGAGATCGAGACCATCCTGGTCAACATGGTGAAACCTTGTCTCTACTAAAAATACAAAAAATTAGCTGGGCATGGTGTTGCATGCCTGTAATCCCAGCTACTCAGGAGGCTGAGGCAGGAGAATTGCTTGAACCCAGGAGGCGGAGGTTGCGGTGAGCCGAGATCATGCCATTGCACTCCAGCCTGGGTAACAAGAGCGAAAGTCTGCCTCAAAAAAAAAGAGTAAAGATCTTTGACATTTCATAGCAACTTAAGAAAAAACGTTTAAATTCCAGGACAATTATTGAATCTAAGAGTTAAGGACTAAACATTGAAAGCTAGTTTAGCTGAGTGTGGTGACTCACACCTATAATCCCAGCCCTTTGAGAGGCTGAGGTGGGAGGATCACTTGAGGCCAGGAGTTGACAAGCCTGGGCAACTTTGGGAGACCTTGTCTCTACAAATTTTTTTTTTTTTTAATTAGCTGGGCTTGGTAACGTGTGCCTATGGTCCTAGCTACTTAGGAAGCCAAGGTAGGAAATCGCTTGAGCCTGAAACTTCAAAGTTACAGTGAGCAATGATGGCACCACTGCATTCTAGCCTAGGTGACAGAGTGACACCCTGTCTCTAAAAATTAAAAAGAAAGCTCATTTTTAAATGTTGCTAATGGTTAGTTTGAAGTGGCATCTCCAGCTTCTTCATATGACCCAATTAATTTATTAAATAATGGAAGAAGATTAGGTGAAAATTTTAAAAACAATTCTGTCATTGGGATGAATTTTACCAGGAGATAAAGCAGCTGAATTCTATCTTGGCTCTGCTGTATTTTACCATGTAGCCTTGGGTAAGTCATTTACTCTCTGCCTGTTATCTACCAAATGAGGGTGTCACCCTCAATAAACTGACGTTTCTTCAAACTCTTAAACTATGAACAATGGTTTTGTACCTTTTTTCCCAGAGAGACACATACATGTGGGGTCACGTTCAACTCTCAGGAGCTAAATTGTATGTGTTGTTGTTGTTGCTGCTGCTGCTGCTGCTGCTTTAAGGCAGCAATCTAGATAAAATAGGATACAGGTGATGCATAATTTCCAGTTGTAATCTCACCCCCTTTTTTTTTCCCCAATGATCACTGCTATTACATCAAGAACCACTGCTCTGAAGAACTTCACAGTCGTGGGCCATGTGCCACCTGGAAGATGGTTTTTAATGCAAAATGCATCAATTAAAAAATTAATTATGTTTATAAGACCAGGGGCTAATTATACATTCAGATGCTTACATTCTGTCTCCCAATTCTCCTTACTTAGTTCTACCAAAGAAAAGAAATACCCCTCCAAGGAAATCTCCAGAAGCCAAAGCCCTCCAGGGAAATCTCCAGAAGCCAAAGCCCTCTTGCTTTCTGGACATCCTGATCCCTTTAAAAGGCTGGATCCCCTATTTGTCAAGTGGCTGCCTTTGTTGAAAAGGCCCAGAAAGGTCTGCAGTGATAAGGTTTGCTCCAGGGCTGGCTACAGAGAGGCTTCTTGGAACTGAACAAGAGAGCTGTTTGGTTTCCTAAAAAGAGGAGACTGCTCAAATAACAAAGTCTAATTTATCACCTCAGAGTCCCCCTTAATGGCAGCGAGATCCATATAGGTGCCAACCCAGACAACCACCCACATGTGTCTAAACAGCCAATATCATTCTCTTAAAACAGCCCTGCTCATCGGTGCTAATAAAAAGTACAGCACTTCCTCTGCCTTCCTGGAGCAAGGCTTTTAAATCTATTAGCAGCACTTCAGCTACCCAGATGCTTCCACCTTCTGAAAAGCAGCCTTGTCCCAGAGAGATCACACTGAAATGGCACCTACTCACATTCATATGAATCTCAGGCTCTGAGATGACAGGCTGTCCAGCTGGCCTATAGACCGCAGTGCAGGACACTCGGTCGTCAGCAGGTGGCAAAGATGTCACAAAACCAGCGTCGAATAAAAATATTAGAGCTGTACAGGAGTTAGCACGACCCATCTGGCCATGCTCTAGGTAACGGGACTCAGTGGAAAACTATTAGATAAGCAAGCTTGGACCCCAGATCACGGGCTACTCCATACAGGAAGAAAGATCTTCAGAAGGGGAATTTAACAAGTTGACAAGGTTTTAAGTGAAAGTGTAACCCAGATATCTGTCAGCTGGGGCTTTCCTGTCCCTTGAGATCTAAATGAGCTTTGCTTCAAATGCCGTAGTCTATGGCAGTCTGGTTCTTTGCAGTTCTTTGACTGCTTGGAGGCTTAGGGCCTCTGCCTTGTCTCATGCTTCCGTGTCTGATACCTTAGCCCTGCAACTTGTCAGGTTGCCTATAAAGAAGGCATGCTCATTTGTGAGCAAGGTGGACCTTACAAAAAGTTGGTGTCATTGTGGAGAATCACATTTCATATTGTACATTTCATTCCATCTAGTGGTATAGTGAACAGTCCATATTAGACTTTCCTGTGCTCTTAAGCCTGGCTATTCAAGGTATGGCCAGAAGACTAACACCTGGGTGTCTGTTAGAAATGCAGAAACTTGAGTCCTCCCCAGATTTCGTAAGTCAGAATCCATAATTACCAAGACACCAGGTGATTCAGCCCAGTAAAGTGTGAGGAGCACAGATCTAAAGTCCTTTTCAGCTGGGTGCAGTGGCTCACACCTCTAATCCCACCCCTTTGGGAGCCCAAACCTGGGGGATGGCTTGAAGCCAGGAGTTCAAAACCAGCCTGGGCCACAAAGCGAAACCCCCACCCCCCACCCCCACCCCACCCAATCTCTACAAAAAATTTAAATATTATTCAGGTAGGCTGAGGCGGGAGGATCACTTGAGTCCAGGAGTTCAAAGCTGCAGTGAGCTAAGAAGGTGCCACTGCACGTTGTACTCCAGCCTGAGTAAAAGATCCTGTTTTTAAAGTCTTTAAAAAGATAAATGAATAAATACAAAATACAACATTTCTTCCATTATAAATTAGGTCTTTGTTTTCCTAGCTGTCCCCTTCTAGGTAGAATATTCCTCAGGGGAAGACCTGAAATCTGTGGTCGTCATTTCTGTTTCCTCAGTACCCTGCAGAGAGATACTCAGAAATTAAGTATTTTTCCTCCTGTCTTTCCCTTGGAAATCCCTACAAATTAACAGCAGTGGTCAAACAAATCCTGGCCCTAACTCAGCCCCTTGTCCTGAATCAGGGGCCTAGGCTACCTTTCTGAGCTACCTCAGACCCACCTGCCTCATCCTGCTACTCATCTTTAGATAGGCCCCTCCTGCCCAACCCTTATCTGTTCTTTTGCTACCCAAGGGTTCCAGCTTTGCCACCAGCTACTTGAGTGTGACTTTTTGAAAATCACCCTACCTTCTGGGCCTCATCTGTAAAATGAGTGGATTTGACTTATTAGCTAGAGCTCTCAGCGGCAGCATTGCAACTCACAGGTGTGTTTTAATCACTTGCAAGGTGCTTTGCAAGTGACTTTTTATATGATCATTAAGGTTTGCCAGTGGGCTTTTTCAAATGAATAGAGCAGATTCAAGGTTATCCCTACGACTGTCATTCTCAGTAGCATTCTGGTGTGCTTTCTGAAACAGGAGAAAATGAATGGAGTTACAGGTAGCTCCAAGGATCACACACAAGCTTGGGACATATACAGCCTTGGAAATGTGTTATGTTTCCTACAGAAAAGTCACCTGGTTATCTGTCATATGTTTCAACAGCACAAAGACTGATCTACAAACTTTTCAGCTCCATCATCTTTTGGGTTATCAGGTGGTTTTTATTTTATCTGGAGAAAAGACTGCTCTTGAAAAATGTGAATTTCCAAATAGTTCCTGTGATGTAGTAGCTCCTTTGAAAATTTAAATCTCACGCAGAGACACTTGAGCAGGTGATGCTCTTTAAATTTTTTTTCTCTTCCTCTTTGGCTTTGCTTGCAGAAAGCGAGAGGAAGAAAACAAACGAAAAGAGGCAGAACAGCAAAAAGGAAGGCGGAGCCCAGATTCCTGCAGACCCCAGGCCCTTCCCTGTCTGACGAGCACCCAGGATGCGCCCAGCAGGCAGAGCCGGGCCCCCAGCAAGCGGTCTCCTGCTGGCAATGTGAGCCAGGGGCCTGAGCCAAGAGATAGCAGAGGGTCCCCAGGAGGGTCTCTGGGCAGAGCCCTTCAGAAGGAGCAACATGTTTCCTCAGATTTGCAGGGAATAAACTCCAGAAGGCCAAACGGTAGGTGTATTTATTGCCTTTGTCACCTGCTGCCAGCCCATGGACTGTGGGCTCGACCGCTGTATTTAGACCAAGTACATTTAAAGTAATTGTCATATTAGCACTTAGGACCACCACTTTATGATTTGTTTTCTACTTGTTTCCTCTTGTTCTCTTTTTTTTCTTCCTTCCTACAGGTCACTTCAGCAGTTTTTAGGATTCCATCTTGATTGATTTATTACTTTTTGTTTTCTTTTCTTTTTTAAAGTGAAATGTGTAAACCTCGCTTCCATTTGTCTTGTCCACTTTTAAGTATTATGGCTTAGGTATCGGATGGTGTTATAAATTTTGTTTCAATCATGAAATACAATTTATAAAATTCACAAAGAAAAGGACATTTTCCACACCTGTATTTCTGCTCTTCTCGTTTCTTCTTCCTGATGCTCTAAGATTTTTGTATTATTTCCTTTCTGTCGGAAGAGCTTTCTATGGCCAATCTTTAAGGGTATGTCTGCTAGCAAAAAATTCTTTCAGTTTTCCTTTGTATGAGAATGTTTTTATTTCATTCCTGAAGAATCATGAGCCAGATGTAGAATTCATGGTTGGCACTTCCTTCCATTTAGCACTTGAAAAATACTGTGCCATTTCCTTCTGGCTTCCATGGTTGCAGATGAGAAATCCACTGTCATTCAAACTGGTATTTCTCACTAACGGTCCTAGGTAATATGTCATTTTTCTCTGGCTGCTTTCAATATTTTAATATTTATCTTTAGCTTTCAGAAGTTTAATATGATGTGTCTTGGCATGGGTTTTTGCAGTTTATCCTATTTTGAGTTTACTTGTGTGCCAGGAATCCCCACCCCCAAGACTACCCCAGGTTAGGTGATGTTGGAGGATTTACTAGGGAGACTCAGCATATAGTTGTACTCCCAGTTTGGGTTTATTATAACAAAGGGACACAAAGCAAACTGAGCAGAGAAAAGGTGTATGGAGCAAAGTCCAGAGAAATTAGGCATGAGCTTCCAACAGCCCTCTTCCAGTGGAGTCACACACAACGCATTTGATTCCTTCTGCAATAAATTGTAACAACCAGTCAGACAACCTTTTATTGACAAAGAAAGCTCATGTGAATCTAGGACTCGAGGATTTTTATCTGGAGTCAGTCACATAGCTACTCTCTACGTAGCATATGCCAAAATTCCAGACTCCCAGAAGGAAAGGTGTGCAGCATAAACTCTGTTGTTTGACAAAGCAGTTTAAACACACTAAGCTACCCTTAAAAGCTAGAGAATGGTGGGAGCTTTCCCTAGATCTAAATGCAAATGCCAACACAATGAAAAAGACAAATAGTGTCTTAGTATTTTTATGAAAATAGCCCTGATCTTATGCACTCTGTCAAAAGGGGGTTCTGGAACTTCATGATTATGGAATTCAGGGCTTGGACAGTTCAGTCTGTTTCTCTGAACCTTAACTTCCTGAGCTAAAAAGTGAGGGTATACTTTCTACACTGCAAGGTAGCTATGGATAGCAATAGTTCATGTAGAGTACTTGTTATAGCCCATAACTCATTGTAGGTCTTCAGTAACTATTATTATTAAGCCATACATTAACCAAGGACAATTACAGAAAAGTATACATGAAATGACTACAGGCCAGGTGTGGTGACTCACGCCTTGTAATCCCAACACTTTGGGAGGCCAAGGCAGGAGGATCACTTGAGGCCAGGAGTTCAAGACCAGCCTGGCCAACATAGCGAAACCCCGTCTCTACTAGAAATACAAAAATTAGCCAGGCATGGTGGTGCATGCAACTGAGGAGGCTGAAGCAGAAGAATCGCTTGAACCTGAGAGGCAGAAGTTGCAGTCACTGCAGTCCAGTCTGGGTGACAGTGAAACTGTGTCTCAAAAAAAAAAAAAAAAATATATATATATATACACACACACACACACACACACACACAAAATGACTGTAAACATTTCTGGAATATAATTCCATAATCTGTTTTACAGTATAATCCTTAAAGATTACTTACCCTTGCTGGGCGCGGTGGCTCACGCCTATAATCCCAGCACTTTGGGAGGCCGAGGCGGGTGGATCACAAGGTCAAGAAATCAAGACCATCGTGGTCAGCAAGGTGAAACCCTGTCTCTACTAAAAATACAAAAATTAGTTGGGCATGGTGGTGTGCGCCTGTAGTCCCAGCTACTCGGGAGGCTGAGACAGGAGAATTGCTTGAACCCAGGAGGCGGAGGTTGTAGTGAGCCGAGATGGCGCCATTGCACTCCATCTGGGTAACAACAGCAAAACTTCGTCTCAAAAAAAAAAAAAAAAAAGATTACATACCCTTGATGCTTTGCTACATATTCATTCATTTATTCATCCAACCAGCTTTAATTAAGGTCTCATGATGTGACAGCCATGTTGAACTTCCTTGAGTTCTTTCTTAGCCTGGAGCCTTTGCAGATGCCATTGCCTCTACCTTATTTTTTAGATATCAGGGATGGTGTTCCTTCTTCTGTTCAACCATTATCACCCCAGTAAAGGAGGCTACAGTTTCCTGCTATCTGCTCCCATACTTCTATGCTTCCCTCTTATAAAGATCATCACTTTTTACTGTTATTACTGATTTACTTGTTATTTTTTCCACTAAACTGCAAGATCTGTAAGAGCAGGGTTGCTTCTGTTATCTACTGCTGTATAACAAACCACACAAAAACAAAGTGACTTAGAACAGTGACAATTTATTTTTTATGATTGTTTTGGTTGGGAAGTTTCTTTACAGGCTTCATCTGGTCTCATGTGTCTACATTCAGGTGGACAGTGAGTTGAATTGCATGTCTAAGATATACTAACTTGAATGTCTAACAATTGATGCTAGCTATCAGATGGGATTCCTTGACTCTGTTTTACATGGTTTTCATCCTCTGGCAGACTAGACTGGCTTCCTTACATCATGATCTCAGGATGGCATTCTCAGAAAGCAAAGATAAAAGCCACAAGACCTCTTGAGAAATAGACTTAAGAATTTGCACAGATTGTATTGATCAAAGCAAGTTATAAGACCATCCCAGGCCAAATGATGCGGAGAAAGAGTCCACCATTGTGCGTACTAAGATGGGAAGAATTTGGGGCTATTAAACAATCTGTCGTAGTTCCTATTTGGTCACAGACTATTCACATTCCTCCCACAGGCAAGATCTTCTTACCTCTTGATATGGATTGGCTCTATGTCCCCACCCATATCTCTTGTTGAATTGCAATTCCCAGTGTCTGGGGAGGGACCTGGTGGGAGGTGATTGGATCATGGGGCGGATTTCCCCCATGCTGTTCTCATGATAGTGAGTTCTCACAAGATCTGATGGTTTAAACGTGAGTGGCACTTCCCCCCTATCTCACGCTGTCTCCTGTCACCATGTGAAGAAGGTGCTTGCTTTCCATTTGCCTTCTGCTACAATTGTAGGTTTCCTGAGGCCTCCCAGTCATGCTTCCTGTTAAGCCTGTGGAACTATGAGTCGATTAAACCTCTTTTCTTTATAAATTACTCAGTTTCTGGTAGTTCTTTATAGCAGTGTGAGAATTTACTAATACATCTCTATCTCAGTGCCCCTAAAATCTCGTCCTGATTATCGCATCACACTTGATGTCTGGGATTTTAAGACATGAACCAGATGTGGTTCAGGTTCACCAGGTGGGTCTGTTTTCTGATTCAGAGACCATTCAGCCAAAAGATACATTATCAACCCCCCACACCCAACAAACAAGTGTTGAGACAGGAACAGAATAATGGCAGGAGACAAAACGAAATGGAATAAGAGGTGCATAGCAGCCACTAGTCCATAGCAATTCTGAAAGCCAGCTGGTCACATTTTACCGGGGCCCTTATTCTGAGGTAAATATTCCTTGATTAGGGTCTCATTTTATTCCTGGTGGCTTCCTATTCCATTGTTCTCCATGGCTTTGGCTCTGCTACCTGAATGTTTGTTTGGCTCTGCTCTCTGAGAATTCCTTCCTTTTCCTAAGAAATGCCCGTGTTTGCAGCTGAGTAGCTTTCGCAGCCTATTTCCTGACTATAGGATATTGGGGCCCCGGAGGCTTCTTTTTGTTTTGAACTATGTCACCAGTTTGTGGTACTCTCAATGACATGATTATCTCAAAAGCTTCATGGTTTCTTGTGAATCTGACTGGATTCATTCCATGTTTCAAAAGCCACATCCATTATTTTTCTTTTTCTTTCTTTTTTTTTTTTTTTTGAGACAAGGTCTTGCTCTGTTGCTAGGCACCAGGTTTGGAGTGCAGTGGCGTAATCTCAGCTCACTGCAACTTCCGCCTCCTGGATTTAAGGCAATTCTGCCTCAGCCTCCCGAGTAGCTGAGACTATAGGCCCATGCCACCATGCCCAGCTAATTTTTGTGTTTTTAGTAGAGACAGGATTTCACTATGTTGGCCAGGATGGTCTTGATCTCTTGACTCTGTGATCCACCCGCCTCAGCCTTCAGAAGTGCTGGGATTACAGGCATAAGCCACCGTGCCTGGCCCACATCCACTATTTTCAAACAAACTTTTCTCTATGTTGAGTGGCTCAGACTTCTGTGGGAAAATGCCCTTGCCATTCTTAGAAACTGTTTTGTCAAGCTGAGGGGGCCTATTATATTATGTACCACCTTAAATACTTTTGAGTCTTAATAAAGGATTATACAAACATACTTTTTTTGTTTGTTTTTGAGACAGGGTCTTGCTCCGTCACCTAGGCTGGAGTGCAATGGTGCATTCATGGCTCACTGCAGCCTCCTTCTCCCAGGCTCAAGTGAGCTTCCCACCTCAGCCTCCTGGGTAGCTGGGACTACAGGCGTGTTCTACCATGCCCGACTACTTTTTTTGCATATCCTTTTCATAGAGATGAGGTTTCATCATGTTGCCCATGCTGGTCTCAAAATCTTTGGCTCAAGTAATCCACCATCCTTGGCCTCCCAAAGTGCTGGGATTATAAGCGTTAGCCACTGTGCCTAGCCTGACTTGATCTTTATGCTGAGGCCGTATCTTACTATGAGACTCTTTTGCTGGCTGGAAAGAATAAAAATGTTAAACAGTTTTATTTTCTAACCCAGCACATCCTAGGATCTTTACATTATCTCTAAAGTTTGATTGTACACTGAGCAGTTTTTTTCTTCATTTTATTTGATTTTCTCCCCATACTTTGTCATATATATATATATTTTGAGATGGAGTGTCGCTCGTTACCCAGGCTGGAGTGCAATGGCGCAATCTCGGCTCACCGCAACCTCTGCCTCCTGGGTTCAGGCAATTCTCCTGCCTCAGCCTCCTGAGTAGCTGGGATTACAGGCATGCAGCACCGTGCCCAGCTAATTTTCTGTATTTTTAGTAGAGACGGGGTTTCACCATGTTGACCAGGATGGTCTCAATCTCTTGACCTCATGATCCACCCGCCTCGGCCTCCCAAAGTGCTGGGATTACAGGCTTGAGCCACCGTGCCCGGCCTTTTGTTTTTAAAGAGCAGTTGATATTTTGTTCTGCATTCCATCTGGAAACCTCCTGAGCTGTTTCTACAGCTTCATTAGGTATATTTTCTATCTTCTAAGTTACTGCAGGTAACAATTTTGCCAGTTAATTCTGCCACTGATTAACAAGGTTCACTTCTCTCTAGATTCCAACAGCAGTTTCTTCCCTGCTCTTCCAGCCTTCACCAGCAGTCTCTTCATTGCCTTCCCAGCTTCTGCTCGCCAACCAGTTCAAAGTCAATACCATGGATTTTCTATTACAAGACAGCACCTCTCTTTTATAGATGTAAATATAAGTGGCTTAAACAACAGAAGTTTATTTCTCACAGTCCCATGGGCTAGCTGGGCAGTTCCTCTACTTGATTACCTGGGCTTACTCATGAGTTGATAGGATTTGCACAAGATGTACCAAGATGGCCTCCTTCATATATCTGGCAATTGGTGGTGGCTCTTGGCCATCTCCATTCTCTTCTTTATGGCCTTTTGTTCTCCAGTTACACTATCTTCCTTATATATATTGTTCTCAGGGCAGTACTCTTGACAGAGAAGGCAGAAACTGCATGTTACCCTGTTTATCCATTCACCTACTGAAGAAACATCTTGGCTGCTTCCATGTTTTGGCTATTATGAATAACGCTAATATAACATCTGTGTGCAACTTGTATGGACGTAAGTTTTCAACTCATTTGAGTAAATATAAAGGAATATGATTGCTGGATCTTAGGTAAGAATATGTTTAGTTTTATAAGAAACTGCCAAACTGTCTTCCAAAGTGGATGTACCATTTTGCATTCCTACCAGCAATGAACAAAAGTTCCTATTGCTCCACCTCCCCACCAGCATTTGGTTTTGTCACTGTTTTAGATTTTTGCAATTCTAATAGGAGTGTAGTGGTATCTTGTAGTTTTAGCTTTTTTGGGGGGGCATATATGTGAAACATTATAGTGGCTCTAAGAGTCAGAGCTATACAAAAAGGTGTAGGTAGAGAAGGGTCACTGCCTCTTCATCCCTACTATCCAGCTCCCATTTCTCCCTTCTTTCCACCTCTTTCCCACTCAACCCCCCACCCCCCCGCAGGTAACCAATATCTTTGGTTTTTGCTTTATGTTTTCTGTATTTCTTTTGCACAAATGAGCAGATACTCGTATATTTTCTTATATCCCTCCCCCTCTTTTTTTTGAGAAGTCTCACTCAGCCAATTTTTGTCTTTTTAGTAGAGACGGGATTTCACCATGTTGGTCAGGCTGGTCTCAAACTCCTGACCTCATCATCCACCCATCTCGGCCTCCCAAAGTGCTGGGATTACAAGCATGAGCCACCGTGCCCGGCAATATCCCTTTCTTTCTTACATGAAGAGTAGCATGGTTTAGATAACTCTTTTGCACTTAAGAATAGTTATTCTATTTTATCGAGACATAGTCTGACTCTGTTTCTCAGGCTGGAGTGCAGTGGCAGAAACAGCTCACTGCACCCTCAACCTCCCAAGCTCAAGCAACCTTCGTCGCAGCCTTTTGAGTAAGTGGGACTACAGGTGTGCACTACCACATCTGGCATTTTTTCTTTCCCCAAGAAATGGGGTCTCATTATGTTGTCCAGGCTTGTCTCAAGCAATCCTCTTGCCTCAGCTTCCCAAGGTGCTGGGCCACTGCACCCAGCCAGAATAGTTATTTTAAAGTCTGTTTCTGAAAATACATTGTCTAGATAATCTGTGCCTGTTTTATTAATCGTGTGTGTGTGTGTGTGTGTGTATGTGTGTGTATGTGATGGAGTCTTGCTCTGTCACCCAGGCCAGAGTGCAATGGCACAATCTCAGCTTGCTGCAGCTTCCACCTCCCAGGTTCAAGCGATTCTCCTACCCCAGCCTCTGAGTAGCTGGGACTACAGGCATGCACCACCATGCCCAGCTAAATTTGGTATTGTTAGTAAAGACGGTTACATGAAGTCAGGCTGGTCTCGAACTGCTGACCTCATGATCCACTCGCCTTAAGCCTCCCAAAGTGCTGGGATTAGACATGAACTACCACGCCCGGCACATTTTTCATTTTAGATGTTATGTCATTTTTTCAACTCTATCCTTTTCTCATATTTTAAACTTTAGTGTGTTTAATCAGTCTGTGTGTGCTAAAGTTTTGGGAGATCTGATCTTGCTATTGGGTTAATAGTTGCTTGTGGTAGATTGTTTCCTCATGCATTTGTGATTTGGGATCGTGAAGTCGTTTTCAGAGGACCCCTTTGTGGAACCTGAGTTAGGGGTATGTCACACTAAAGCAATATTGTGTTTGCTTCTATGAGGCATCCTGGGATATCTCTATCCTAAGTCCAGTTTTTATATTAATGTCTCCTATGGATTGAGAAATGAATACCAAGCCCACGTGAGGATGACGACTTTGGTTTTAAATTCTTATGGGAGACTCTTTACCCCATCCAGAACTTAGACTGAAACAAGATTCCTTGTCATCTCCAAGTGCTGGAGAGTAGATTTTAAAATCTGGATTATCATTTCCAAAAGGTATATCCCTTTAAAAGTGTGGCTTCGTGTAGAGTTTTTGTTCCAGTTAACTTTCTTCCTGCAAGGCCTTATGTTCTGTTCTGATGCAGATGTTAAAACACAGCCGGACATTTAATGAGACCATCTGTTGCCCACTCTACCACTGTTACCTGCCTAGACAGTCACTGCCTCAGCTCACACACTTCACTGCTTTGATTTTCTCTTTTCTTTGTTTTTGGCCTCCAGAGTTCCTTTATTTTCTTAAAGGTATGACGGTGCTTTTCAAAGGATGGCCATTATACTTTCGTTAAGGTGAGAAGGTCTTCAGGTCATCTAACCTACCATATTGCTGGAAATGAAAGTTAAACAGTTTTTTTCCTAGTCGTAACTGCTCTATTATGGTGATGATATAGGCTAAGTCTGAATATTTTATGTGAACATATTAGCAAAATTATTCTATGCAAGTTTTTTACACAATATTTTTTGTTTCCCCAAGAAACAGCCAGAGAACATTCTAAAGGCCAATCTGCCTGTGTCCACCTCAGACCCAGTGAAGGCAATGATGGAAACAGGCATCCAGGAGTTCCCTCTGTTGAGAAGTCCAGAGGTGAGACAGCTGGCGATCAGCGGTGTACAAAGGGGAAAGGCTTCTTGAAGCAGCCCTCCTGTATCAGGGTGGCTGGGCCTGATGAGAAAGAAGACTCCAGGCGGGCAGCTGCAAGCCTTCCACTACATGGTGGCCACTGGAAGCCCAGCAGGCGGCATGAGACAGAACCCAAGGCCAAATGTGCCCCCCAGAAAAGGCGCACTCAGGAGCTCAAAGGAGGAAGGTGCTCCCCGGCTGGTTCTAGCCGGCCTGGCAGTGCCCGGGGGGAGGTGGTCCATGCTGGGCAGAATCCTCCCCACCATCGTACACCAAGAAACAAAGTGACACAAGCCAAGCTCGCAGGAGGGCTCTATTCAGATCTGCCACAGAGCACAGAGGAGTTGAGGTCAGGAGCCCAGAGGCTGGGGACATCCACCCTGTCTGAGGACTTTCAGGAATCTAAGGAGACTGATCCAGCACCTGGTCCCCTCTCTGGGCAGAGTGTGAATATTGACCTTCTCCCTGTAGAACTCCGACTGCAGATAATTCAGAGAGAACGGAGGAGGAAAGAACTGTTTCGCAAAAAGAACAAGGCAGCAGCAGTTATCCAGCGCGCCTGGCGAAGGTAAGAAAATGGGATGCTGCTGCGTCTTTGGTTCTTTGGTTGTTGGTATTCTCAACATGGCATCTGTGGTCTTTGTTTTCCCATGAGTTTCATGTTGTGGCAGGGTAAGGCCAATTTTATGGAGCCTACCCATGAAATTCACACAGGATCCTAGTAATTTACATTGTGTTAACCATTTGGAAGATGTTTTTACCTAGAAAGATGGGAAAGTGCTCAGGACAGCATGGCGTAAAGGAAAAAGCCTTGGGTTTATAACCATGATATGTGAGGTTCAGGTAAGCTCTAACAGATTATGTGACTTTGCACAAATCACATGGCCTCCCTGACCCTCTGCTGCTTCATCTGTAAAACAGGATTTAATAATAGTTGCACATGTCCTGTTTATACAACAGGTTGCTGGAATGAGACGATGCACGCTCCATTAAATTCTAAATTACTACATGTAGGAGCTATTTTATGTTTATTCTTATGTCTTTACTACCAGGACCTAGTCATACTCCAGACACCTAAACCAGGGTCTGGCTGTGATGGATTGAGTGACTAAACTTTATTGCATGAACCTGTCTGAGCATCTGCCTAGCTCAAAATATGGCGTAGGGACTGGGAGTTGGGAGTGAAGGCTATCCTAAACCCTGAAACAGTGTCCCAAAATAGTAGAGACAAATGCCTCCAGGGGGTGATTATGGAAGGACTAAATAAGTCTTGCTACAAATGTTAATGTCTCATAATATCTTTCATCCTGAAAGCCTCACTAGAGCCTAAATCTAAATTAGGGCTTACAGTGATGAGTGTCCAGAGAGGAGCTGGACCCATTGCCAATAGGTAGGAGTTGGCTGAGCGTGGTGGCTTACACCTGTAACTCCAGCACTTTGGGAAGCCGAGGTAGGAGAATCACTTGAACCCAGGAGTATGAGACCATCCTGGGACACATGGCAAAACCCTGTCTCTATGAAAAATACAAAAATTACCCAGGCATGATGGTATGTGCCTGTAGTCCTAGCTATTTGTGAGGCTGAGGCAGGAGGATCGCTTGAGCCTGGGAGATCGAGGTCACAGTAAGCCATCATCATGCCACAGCATTCCAGCCTAAGCAACAGAGTGAGACCCTGTCTCAAGAAAAGAGATAGGTGGAAGTTACATTGCCACCATCACTGGGGAGAGGATGACCAATGGGGAAACAAGGTAAGCAAATGATGCATGCACAGGTGTGCCAGATATGGAGGGTCCTGTCAGGAGAAAAAGGAAAACATTCTCTCCTTAACACTGGCAGGGAGAGAACAAGATAGATTCCTGGGGGTCCAGAGAGGGACCTCTGAGTATCATACCAGAGACTTCCTAATCCAGAGCTGCGTGATCTGCTTTGTGCTTGCAGACTTTGCTATGTGTTCTTCCTCATGTCTGTTTCAGCCCTTGGCCATTGACAAAGTCCTCTCTTGCCTGATCCCATGTGATCTCCCAACCACACTCAGACGCTATCAGGACAGGGAGCAGGACCCCATTTTTCAGACAAGAGAGGAAAAACTGACTTGTCCTTGTGGTGCAGATCCAGCAATTGGACCTCTGGATGACTCAAATTATTAAGTTAGTTTTTGCTGTGGTCAAACTAATGGAGGTGGAGGTGGGCCCCATGCTCCTTGCCTGAGAATAGGATGGAGAAGTCTGCCTTGGTGGTGTCACACACACCAGGGTAACCAAGAGAAGGGTGATATTACTCCCATTGTTAACATACTAGTTAGTATGTATTGGACACTTGGGCCATACACTGTTCAAACTAGTTTTACCTGGATTAACTAATGTAATCATTACCAATAACCCTGCAAGGTAGGTACTGTTCTTATCCCCGTTCCACAGATGAGGAAACAAAACACAGAGAGGTTCATTAACTCACCAACATTACAGAGCTGGCAAGCACCAGGGCTGGCTTTGAGCCAAGACAGTTGGCCTCTAAAGCCACAGGTGGAAATGGGTATTGCATCCCCTTGTTGGGGAGTTAATGCTGGGACATGCACTGGCTACCATCCAGAGGAACTTTTTAAGTATTTTGGCTGAAATCTAGGATCTAAACGACCCAGCAGGGATTACCACGCCAGACTCACAGCTGCTCGTATCTGAAATGTCTCCCTCTTTGACTGTCTGTTCTTTGCCTTCTTTGAAGAGTCAGAAGCTGACAGGTCCTGTCAGTAAGTGACCAGAGTAGCAAATGAGCCTTCAGTCATTCCCCCAAGAACAGGGGGCTTATAGTCGAACATACCCACCTGGGTAGGCAACTACGCAGGCCCGCTCTGGATGTGCCATTGTGCAATTCTGAGGCCCAAAGGACTTCTGGGATTGTTGCACATTGCAGAAAGCCAAGTCTGGTGACAGTAAAAATACTTTTATTGATTCTATTATATTTTAACTACATTTTCTATTGTAAATACAGGAGCCCAAGTGCTGTCCTGAAACAGTATACATGATAGCAAACCTAAGCAGTGAGGGCTGGGGCAGGGCGCAGAGCTGGACATGTAATTGCTCAGTGCAGGCTGTGGTTATGGGGAACAAGTAGAGGACGGAGAAAAGGAGCTGGAAAACAGGGAGGGAAGGAGTGGGCAGAGTGAACCTTGGGTCCTGAAAAAATGAAACTTGATCTTAAAATTGCCAATTTAATAACCAAGTAAGATGACTATTTTAAAGACTGAAACAGGATACTGGACAAGCTGAGCAGGAAAGCTGCTGCTGGGCCCACCAAGGGCTGACACGACTAACAGTTTCAGCCACTACCCGCGCTTCCCCACAAGTTCTGTGCCCACAAGAGCAGAAGGTACAGAAGACAGCATTTCAAACAGGAAAAACTGAATTATAGAGTGGTAGTGCATACTTTTCTCTAGACTTGGCTTTTTGGAAATGTGGTATGTATTCTAGTAGAGGATGCCATGTTATTACTCTCCAGGAGAAGAAAGAAGAGTCATGTAGGCTGACTGGAATCAGCCTTTGGGGAAGGAGGGAGGGGCTGCACCAATACTGCAAAGAGCTTTTAGCAGGAAAAAAAGATTACTTCCCATTTGGTGCAGCCCAAATGGGATCACTGTAAAATCAGACATGAAGCCTGTTGCTCTCTGCAGCTACCTATAGGCTCTCTGGGAATAAAGACAGATAGATAATTAACATTGCTGCAGCTTTCCTCTGGAGGCCTCAAAATAGTTGTTGTGCTAAGTTTGAAAGTGCATGTGGGATAGAAAGCATCAAATAAATAAACCCTAAATGTAAATATAGCCATCATCCCCATCCCTCACCCACTCCAAACCCACCTCCAACAGATGTATCTTAGTAAGAGGCAGCTTGTACTTTTACCACTCTAAAGCCCCCTTTCCTCACAAAATACACAGTGCTTCTACCACATTGCATTACTGACTTTCTGGCACAAATGCCCATAACTCTGCTGATGCCATTTCTGCTGCATAGAATGCCCTTCCCTGCCTGGTAAGCTCCTATTCATCTTTTAAAATCCAACACAAATATTAACCTTATGAAACCTTACCAAACCATCAGTCAGTCCTGTATGTTTGCACAACCAGCTCCTTGTTCTTGCTTAGTACTCTCATACCACACGTACTCTTCACACAGCAGCCTGTCCCACTAGTCTGTGAACTCCCTGAAGGCAAGCAATCATGATTGAATCCTAGTTCAGGAATTGTTTGATGGTGGAAAAAGAATTCCACATTCAGCATGCTGCCGCTGAAATTAGAAATGGGAGCTTGAATGGACCTACCAGGAATTCAGCAAATACTATTTCTCTAGCTTCTAAGAACCTTGAAGAAATTTGGTTTTCTCAGTACTGTGATCTTAAAGCCTCTCTTCTCCTCTGACCCCACCAGCTACCAGCTCAGGAAGCACCTGTCCCACCTTCAGCATATGAAGCAGCTTGGAGCTGGAGATATGGACAGATGGAGGCGAGAATGCACAGCGTTACTCCTCCAGGTTTGGAGGAAGGAACTGGAAGTAAAACTCCCCAAAACCACTGCAGTAAGCAAGGCCCCCAAGAGTCCATTAAAGGGCACCACAGGCACAAAGTCCACCAAGCACTCACTGCTTAAGCAAATCTACGGTAACTATCCTTCTGCCTACTTTGTAGTTGACAAGTACCCGCAGAGTGCCACAGCAGAAATCTGAAATGGAATTTAATTGCATTGGGCAAACTTCAAGATAAATCTATGCAGTTGGTGCAAAATTGTGTAAAAATTAATGGCCAAAACTGCAATTAATTTTGCGCCAACCTATTATTTTTCAAGCACCAAGAAAACGGCACCATTTTGTGCCTCCCTCCCAGCGATACTGGGTCAGAACTGGTTTTGTGAGGCATTCTAGCATCTCAGCCCAGAGTGCCCTCAAGCTTTTTCGAAACCTCTCCAGCTCCTGCTTGAGCCTCCCCCTTGCATTACCCATTTAGAACATTCAAGACTTAGCTAGACCCTGCCTGCATCACTTTGACTTCTATGCTAAGATATAGGGCTGCCCACTATGAGAATGCTCAACACCCATGCACTATAGTAAATATTTGTTCAGCAGATTAACTGCTGTAAATGGAAACATTTTCAGCTCTGCAAAGAGCCCATCCAAATAAACCCAGTAGAGTTCCAGAAGCCTTGCTGGCTCAAGAGAAAAAAAGATAAGGGCACCTTTAGAAAGATTTCCTACAGTCCAGGTAGCAAAATCTCAGGACTTTGCTCTGGGCCTACGGGGTTCCACACCATACCTAACTTATTTTGACAGACACCTCTAAGCTCAAGCCTTTACCATAATAAGGAATTCAGAAATTGGTGAAGCCAAAGCTATCCCTGGCCAAAGAAAAGTAACAGTCTTTGGTTCATTTCAGGTTGTTCTCAAGAAGGGAAAATACATCATCCCACAAGATCTATAAAAGCCCCTTCTGTGCTGCGTCTCAACTCAGGTAAGGCAGCCACTGCAAAGCAGATGGTGGGGGAGAATATGGAAGTATTTTCCTTTGTTTCATCACCAAAGGTAGAAAGAAGACATTAGAACAGAGATGGCCAGGGTTTTCCAATGGTTACCTGATTTCAGGTTTTATCCCCTTTTCAAGGGATTATTACTGTAGTCAACATTTATCTCCCTAAGAGGCAAATTATTTTCACAACTAAAAGCTATTATTAACTCCAATAGAAACAATAAATGGTAGCTATTATTGGTCACTTTTACACACTTTTCACTAAAGGAGGAGATAAATGAAAATACTGTCACTCTTCAAAGGAATACCTTGGGAATCCTTGCTTCATTTTGGTGACACATTATGATCCTCTATTTCCTTCTCCAAGATGGAAAGAACACCATGAAGAGGTCACTGAGAGTATATACAGCCCAGGCTCAGCTATGCACACGTTCCCTCATACAGGGGAAGCTCAGGGAACTTTCTTTTCAGCCACAAGACAAGAGTGTTTTGCTTAGGCCCCCTCATTCACGCCAGCATTAAATACGGGTGATAAGTTCATTGCTGTCAGCAGCTAATGCCAGGTCCAGTGTTTCTCATAGGTGGCTATGGCAACACGCTCCCCACCATCCTCCCTGATCCACACAGTCATCCGGGAGGAACAGAGTGCAGCTGGGAAGGTGAACAATGACTGTCAGCATGAACTTTAACATTCATTTAGTTTTTGATGAGGGGCAAAAACCTGGAGGTGGGGGACAGAGTAATTACTGCCAAATCTTTATTAAGAGTTGGACAACTCATGTAATACAGACAGGCTGATCAGGGAGTGGTAGGTGGGGTAGTTAGAAACTTTCAAAGGAATCAAGGCCTACAATTCGTTCAAAAACAAAAAAACCCTTTCGTTATAGCTGAGCAAATTGAAGAATCATTTCAAAAACAGAATTGTGAGATATCACTACCAGAGAAGCGGGATTTAGACAATCAAATACTAGCATAAATTAGATAATCAAATTGTTTCCCACTGTCTTAAGAGAAAAACAAATCCAAGACTACCAGAAATCTTTTAAAATGGTGTTTAGCAGCATAAAGTTTTTTAGTTAAGGGACTCACTCAGAAGGGACAGAGTAAATAAATTTAAATCAATACTTAATGGTTTCTTACGACTTCATATGAACAAGCAACTTATTTGTCTTACGCATATTTCTGACTGGTTTAAAATCAGACAGGGATAATCTTTTCCTAACCCCAAATCTGGAAAGAACACAAGATTTTGTTAGGCTCAAGCCCACCCACATTAAGCATTAACCAGTTAATAACTATTATTGCTCTCACCCTCCAACCTGGAGAGATACCCCCTGAGGTTCCTTTACCACTTAAAAAGGAAGAAACAGAAAGGAGGATATAGCAAAATGCCAGCCTTCTTGGGCTGTTTCTTCACATGTATTTGGGAGGCAGCAAAACAATCCCTGCTCACTCCAGTCTTCTACAACCACCCCTGCAAACCTCCCACCAAGAATCTCAGCAGAGCTTTTTATTGATACACACATGTACACACACACCTGGGCCTATCTCTTTAACAATAAAAGAACACCCTTTAAAATTCCATTCCAGTGAATGGAATAATTTTGATTAGTATTGGTACCCCTGTACAAATCCAGTTTCTTCTCGTACACCTACAGAGGGGTACATAGGTGACAACTCAATTCAAGATAGTGAAGGCGGCCAAAAACAATAGTTCACATTAAAATAATTTTGTGCAAGTTAAAACTTGAGACATATGTTTGTTACATTAAAGGTTGAGTAGTTTAAAAAGTATTTGCTTATATGCTCCATAAAAAGAAGCAAAATTCAGCAATGTCTTCAGCAAGGTCTGTCAACTATATGGAGCCTCACTATCATTTGTCGAAGTATATCACCAATGTTTTCTGTGGCACCCTATGAATGTTAATTCAAAATCATAAATGGCCTCAAAAATCCATTTTGTAAGTCTGATATTCCCATCAGCTTATCATTCATGAGGATCCAAGTATTTTCTAACAAACCTATTTTCTAGAACAGACTATTCAAAGTGTAATAGGAGAGTTAAAAGATGTGTTATGTGTTAATGTAATGTGTTACATGAGAGACAAAGAGAATATATTAGTTCTTTCAGGCAGACTGATGACCTAGGTGCCACTACTAGCTCCCCAGGTGCCTGCTCTCTCTTAATCAAGTCTCCCTTGAAGAGATATCCCATATCTTCAGACTGCAGAAAATACAAAGCTATTCTATTAAGTCATCCTGCCTCTACAGTAAACCTGCCTGTCATCCCAGGGATAGCCTATACCTAAATCCTCCTTCGTCACCACCAATGAACTGTTCCCTTCAGCATTAAAATTAGTAACTTAAATATCTATCTGGTATTTGTTTTTAACAGTGAGCAACCTACAGTGTATACATCTCCTTGAGAACAGTGGAAGATCAAAGAACTTTTCCTATAACCTGCAATCAGCTACTCTGCCAAAAAACAAAACCAAACCTCGAGTACCTATGGAGGAAGACTGTGTTCAGGGGATCTGGCATAGCTAGTGCAGCATTCGAATTTCCTGCTGATAATCTTGTACACCTTGGGAAAACTTTAATATTCATACCTGAAGGCATATTCACCTAAAAATGTATTAACTGAAAGAAAACGCCAGAATGTTTCCTTTCTGCTAACACAGCATTGTTTTGTCAATCATCATAGCCTGCCTGGAAATGACCAACATAGACTACGTCTGTGCAAAGTCCCAGGCTGTCTGCTTTCACCTCAGGCTATATGGTTGGAAATGAGAATTATAATTAACCGTAAAATCTAAGGAAAACTCAGGCTGCCAGCTAGCTCATACTGATTTCTTGGCTCAAGAGATGAACCTAAATGAGATAGGAAGCCTGTCCCATAGCAGCCTTCATCTCACTTTCCTAGAATCTAATGCAACAAACTTACACACACACACACATCACATCCCACTGTTACTTCAAAATTAATCAGGTTTAAATTTTAGATCAGAATCATGCCTACTGTTTTTGCATTTAGAAATTATCCAAAAAACCATAGATATATTCTGGTGATTCCTTACATTTTACAGTTACTCCATTAGTCTCCCAAGGCCACAAGTTGCCGCCATGTCTTCTCTAAATGGCTTTCTCACTGCTGAACACCAACAGCCCTATTACAGTATCAAGGATTCTGTCAGGTAGGGTTTACAGACCACACTGTTCATGCAGCAAGGTGCCAACTGAGGCTTCAATGTTCTACTTGTATTTTCTGACCAACTTGAAGTGAGCAATCTTCTTAAAATGCCATTCCTGTTGGCAGAGAAGAATGTAACGGCACACATCCTAGTGTTCTAAGAACACCTGGTTTAAATAAAATCCAGCAATCTTGGGCTCTTTCACATTGTTTAAGGGTAAAGCTGCTGTGGGAATATAGACAGTAGGCATAAACAGTGATTGATATATAAGACTCACAAATATTTTGGGAGTTGCTTTCATTTTCTTAAGATCAGTGCCACTCGTGTGCTAACGATAAAAGACAGGAGGCAATGAAATGTTCGCTTACTACCTTGATTTTTAGTTTGCTAATTATTATATTCATCATTTTCGTGGTAGTGAAAACACAAAGAATGAGGTCTGCTTAGATGGGATTACATTTTTTAGTAAATAACAGAAGGTACCACAGTATCACTCTCTATATTGTAAATATTCAGCTCCTATGAAATGCAAAATGCACAACCGCCTATGACCATGTATCATGTACTTGTCTAGGAAGCCAGCCTGCACATCAGTAGGAACTCCCAAGCATTATTTTCCTACATCAGTGCAAAGTAAGGTTCGTAAACTTCTTTAAAAGTTCAGCTTTAATGACAAAGATCTATTACATTAGTCTTTCTTCAAAATAAGATAGATGTGAATAAACAACTTCAAACAGGAGGTACCATGGACTCTTCAATACACCGTACTCAGTGCACTGGGCCCCTGGGGATGCCCAGTGATATACACGTTGAAGCAGTAATGTAAGTCTGTGAGCCACTGTTCCTGAACACTTCCACTCTTCAATGTCTGGAGAGAAAAACAAGAGTAATTTGACAATTGTACCCAAATCACTATGCTACCTGACAGCATTTTTAACACCCAAACACGATTTCCCAGAGCTTTGGCAACTGTATCCCCGTCTATAAATTACCATAGGAAGAAGTCTTCCAGGAAACAGGGAACTATTAATCAGGCATTATCACAGGCAGTGAAAATTCCTAGTAATATCCGCAAATGCTAACGGTTTCTTGTTACATCTGTTCCCTCCTGCACATGCTAGAGACTAATGAAATGTCACCACCAACCATCCTTTCACCCTTGCCTCCCTCTTGGCATTCTGGTGTCTCCTGATCTTTACACCAACACCAAATGAGAATAATTCTACAGGGCCAACCAACAATTTCTGTGAATCTCTTCTTTACAAAGATGGGCTGATTCTCCAATCTGGAAATAATCGAAGCTCTTGATTTTCTTCCCTTCACTCTTTCCGAATTATTCCACTGCCACTTCTATTACCTCTACAAAGGCTACTGAGAAAATTCTAATGAGCACCTGTATTATATGCATGTAAAAGCATTATTACTTCAAAGTATCACTACAAATCTCAAGGGATAATCTGCAAATCACACTATATAAAACACCTTTTTAACCCCCACAAACTAAAATCACCAAAGGAATCCTAAACATAAACAGAGCTGCCCCTGCCAAACAGACACAGCTGAAGGCAGAGAGCCATCCATTAGACAAAGCTGAAGTGTGCAACTTCTGATTTTCTTACTTTCCAGTGAACTAAGTGACTAGAAATTGGCCTGAAGCTTATTCCTGCTAAATAATTTCCTTAATGACAATATTTATTGAGCACTTAATATATGTCAGGTGTACTAAAAACTTTACTTGGGTTATCTCCTTTAATGATCACCGAAACACAATAAAGTTGGCATTATTTCCATTTTTACAGATGGGAAAATAAGCTTGGATAGGTAAGAAAGAAAAACCTTGCCAAGATGTCTCGTTCTTTAATAGATTCTGTATCAGAGTCTAGGTAGGGATGACTCTGATGCCCTTTTGGCACCTTCATTCAGTTTGATTATTTTAAGACTTTTATTACCGATTCTGGAATCATAGACACACTCCCCGTTAAGTCACCATCAGGTGCAGAACAGCAGGAGAGACCCTGAGAAATTACCACATTGGGCTTAATTCCTAGACTCAATGTATGGAATCTCTTCCCTCCTTCAAAACACACCCCCCTCCCGAGGTGGGTGGATCACGAGGTCAAGAGATCAAGAACATCTTGGTCAACAAGGTAAAACCCTGTCTCTACTAAAAATACAAAAAAAATTAGCTGGGCATGGTGATGCACGCCTGTAGTCCCAGCTACTCGGGAGGCTGAGGCAGGAGAATTGCTTGAACCCAGAAGGCAGAGGTTGCGGTGAGCCGAGATCGTGCCATTGCACTCCAGTCTGGGTAACAACAGTGAAACTCCGTCTCAAAAAAAAAAAAAACCCACCCACACCCCCTCATGCCCCTGTCAAAAATTCACTTTTATGCTAATAATACAAAGCCTCTGGTACCATGCTTCTTACCGTGATATTCTTGATGATCTGCTGCACCAAGATCGCGTTGGTCAACATATGAGTCCTGAGGGGTGCATGCTGAAGCAGCAGTCGAAGCAGCTGGCCCACAACAGGCAGCTCCTCCGGCCCAACTCTGTTCACCCGCAGGCTCTGCAGCATCAACCTGAGTACTCGAGGCAAGAGAGCAAGGATGGAGACACAGACCCCCCATAGCTTGTCCCTACAATGAGAGAGACAGAAATGAGTCAGTGAGCAAATGCCCACAGGAAAAGCCCCCTTTCTATATTCCCCCAAACTGAAATGTCCTTTAAGAAATATGTTTTCCAATAACATTTAAGCTGAGAGCCAAATCAAGAATGCGATCCCACTTACAATAGACACACACAAATACACAAAATACCCAGGAATACATCTACCCAAGGAGGTGAAAGATCTCTACAAGGAAAGCTACAGAACACTGCTGAGAGAAATCACAGATGACACAAATAGATGGAAAAACATATGGATTGGAAGTATCAGTACTGTTAAAATGGCCACAATGCTCAAAGCAATCTACAGATTCAACTGTATTCCTATCAAACTACCAACGTCATTCTTCACAGAATTAGGAAAAAATATTGCGAAATTCATATGGAATCAAAAGAGTCAGAATAGCCAAAGCAATCCTAAGCAAAAACCACCTCACTTCAAACTACACTACAAGGCTACAGTATCCAAAACAGCATGGTACTGGTAGAAAAAGACAGACCAACAGAACAGAAAAGAGAACTCGGAAATAAAGCCCCATATACCTACAACTATCTCATCTTCAACTAAGGTAACAAAAACAAGCAAAAAGACAAGGACTCCTTATTCAAAAAATGGTGCTGGGACAACTGGCTATACTTTTGCCAATAATGAAACTGGGTCCCTATCTTTCATCATATACAAAAAATACCTCAAATTATAAAAATCCTAGAAGAAAACCTAGGAAGTATCATTCTGGATACAGGCCTTAGCAAAGAATTCATGATTAAGTCATCAAAAGCAACTGCAAAAAAAAAAAGACAAGTGGGTCCTAATTAAACTCAAGAACAAGAAAAACTATACAAATTTCACTAGACATGGGTGTTTTTCACTAACATTCAAGCTAAGAGCCAAATCAAGAACAATAAACATCATTCACTTGGCATCTTTATAAAGCAAGAGCAAAATGTTTATGGCAGAGACAGGTGAACTTGCAGCTAGCTTAACCATATTCTGGAAGTGTTAATTAGATGGTGCAATATTCATTTGGATCTAGAGTCTACTGACTATGATAGGCTCTGACCTTTTGCAGCTTCTTTACCAGAATCATGTAACCCTCCTAGTTCCCAAATCTTACTAAGAGAACCTGACTACCTCCATGTCTAGAAGGACCAGCCCTTTCACCATGTAACCAATTTCCCTGACGCCACATACGATAATTACATCTATGGTGAATAATCAATCCATTCTACTAGGCCAAACAGATACTCTTATGCAGAGCCCGGATCAGACAGTCATGTACGAGGAGAAAAGAGAAAGCCAAACTGCAGGCATAGCTAACGCAAAGGCACAGAGATACAGACTACAGAAACTAGAAGAAAAATAGAGTAAGCTGCTTTGTCTCTTGCTAAATTTCTTTTTTTTTTTTTTTTTTTTGCCAATCAGTTTGAGCTTATGAGGTTAGCCTTGAACTGATGACCTCGCCTTCGCGAGCACCATGACCTCCGGCAGGAGACACTTTGGAACCCTCTTGCTAAATTTCTAATTCCTAGCCCTTGAGTTTTACAAATTACTCCTGTAATAACTAAATATTTTCATTTTCTATTTCTGTGAATGTGAGTGGATTTCAAATAACCACAGACCTATAAAAAAAGACAGCAAAGCTCAAGGCCAGATGGGTGAAACCACTATGTGACAGAAACTATAACAAAATTAATATAAAGATACCCAACAGTCATACAGAACTGCATGTGGGATTTTAGGGCTAGGATTTTCAACAGTCAACAGTACTGGAAGCTGAGGCTTCAGAAGCCAGGTATGAAAGGCAGGGAGTTTGAACTATGATCCTTGCACAGAAGGAGAAGCCAGAAAAATGCAAATATAAAACTATCCTACAGGAAGTCTCTATAAGCCTCCACAGAACTCCCACAAAAGACACACTTAGGGAAAAGGTAGGCAATCCAAAATATATAAGTCTGTTCAACTTGCTCCCTAACATAAGGGAGAATTCCCACACCAGAGAAAAAAGGAGCTAATGGAACAGGAAGTTTAAAGAAGCATCAACAAACCAAGAACAAGCAAGAATGACAAAATAACAAATAAAAATCCAAAAGAAAATAAAACAATAGTTGATGAAATAAAATCTCAGTAGGAGGATTAAGTAAAAGAATTAGCAAATTGAAAGATTTTTATGAGATAAAGAAGACAGAATAAAAAGCTCCCTATGTTTAAAAGGAGTTTTTAGAAGATCTCAGTAGGAGGATTAAGTAAAAGAATTAGCAAATTGAAAGATTTTTATGAGATAAAGAAGAGAGAATAAAAAGCTCCCTATGTTTAAAAGGAGTTTTTAGAAGAGAATAGAACAATGGGAGAAGATGGTTCGAAATTAACAACTTTCCAGACCTGAAAAAAAAAAAATTTACATCTATTACAGAAGCACAAAACCTACACTTGGAAGCATCCTGATCTGCAACAGACCAGAGATAAAGAGGAAACAGTAAAAATGTAGATTACTACCTGTAAGATCACTGCCTACAAACCAAGAGGGCTCAGACTAACAACAGATTTTTCATGAGTAACACTGAGGCAAGCAGACAACAGAACAGTATCTTCAAGGCACAGCAGACAGTACTAAATAACTCGACTTGGTCAGACCTAACTTTCTGGCCAGCATTTGTGAAATCAAAGGCTCCTCAATATATTATTTGACCAGCATTCTCATCAGTTTATAATCTTATAAACACCTTTTCCACTGGGGGAAAAGGGAATTTCAGGTACACCTAAGACTTCGGCTGCCAACTGTGCCTGATACCCTAAAATATGTACAAGGTCCTAGTAACATCAACCTTTCCAATACCCAGTATAGAACACCTCTAAAACTGGGCATTTTAATCAGGCAACAAGTATTATGCACACTTAATTTTGTTCGGTGCAGCCACATGACGTCAAAGGATGTTTCTCTATAAGAGACTATAACAGATCTTTGAAACTGCATCAAGTTGTTTTAGGGGCTATACTTCAAGTGACAGGAAATGACAAATAGCAATATACACATTTCCTAAGTGGGGAGTTTATAAAATCTCTAGAATCCTGAGAAGTTCCTTGCTACTTACAAAGACTTTTCTTGATCTGTCAGACCTAAAGTTTGATGATGTATAAGAAAAATATCAAATTTATGTTATGTATAAATTTTATAGCATATTTAAAGTGGAATATACATTTTTTTCCATATACACCTCTTTTACCAGAAAAAATTTGAATGCTGACAATAAAATGGCTTAAGTTATGATACATGCATGTAACAGAATACTATTGAGCAGACTAAGCAAAGTATGGCCACAGGTCAAATCCAGTCCATGACATGTATTTGTAAATAGTTTTACTGGAACACACTGTACTCATTTATTTACATACTATCTATTGATGCTTTCACACTACCATGGTAGTGTTGAGTAGCCATGACAGAGACCTAATGGTCTGCAAAACCTCAAATATTTACTAACTGACCCTTTATAGAAAGAAGTTTACTGAACTTGGTAAGGAGAAATAAAAATGAATGAAATACAGCTAAATGAGTCAACTTCAATTTCAAAAACAATGCTGAGAATCAAATCACAAAAAAAATACATGCAATATAATTCCCATAAAATTCACAAATATACAAAACAAACATGATACTGTTCACACATGCAAATAAACCATTTTTATTATTGTATTTAAAAAGTCAACGAAGTTGATCAATACCAAAGTGATCTGGGGCAGAAGGGTACGTAGAAGACATTTAACTGTGCTAGGTACATTAACAGTACATGTGCTATGATATTCTATATCCGAACCTGGGGTTGGTCAATTGGAGGTTCAGTTTATAATTATCTTATAAACTATATAAATGTGCTTATACGTTCAGTATATGTATCTTCATGTCATTTACAAGTTCAAAAAAGGCCAAAAAGGCACACATCAAAACATTTAACAGATGACAGAATATTTTCTCATGTTTGCCAACCTGTTAGTTTTTAAAACCTTCCACAATGAACTTTTAATAGGCACGCCAATAAGAATATAAACATAAAATACTTTTTAAAATTAAAGTAAAATCTTCCCAACTATGCTAAAAGCTCTAGCCTGTTATATATGAGCAAAAGTACTAATTAAAAACACTAGCATCTTAGAGAAATTTCCTTAAATCCAAGATTTGAAATTCTACTCTGGCAAGCTCTAATGAAGCTCAAAACAAAATACAAAGGTTTGTACTAATAGCCCATTCTCCTAAGGATAGAATTATTTTTCTTGCTAGACTTATAGCAATATTAATAAGAGAAACCTCTCAAGAAATTGTATAATGCCATCTAACTCTTCAAATTTGTAACTTAAAGGGGAAAAAACAAAAAACTAAAAATTAATTTTCACTGAAACACAAAGGGGATTCATGAAGGAACAAAGAAAACGCTGGCTAGGCTGACACAAACTCTCTGAAAGAGAATTTAATATCTTTGTATAATCTAATTATCGTTAACTATTATTATTTTGGTTGGGGGAGGGGAGACAGTAGAAAAATTAAGGTTGAAGAATTAAAAATAATTACCTCTTTCTTAGATGTTCTGCTTCCCCTTTCTCTATAGTGAGTAGAAAATAAAGAAGACTGTAGCAACAAGAAGCCAGAAATGGCAGTAGAGTCTCACTAACTACACAAGTATGATCCAGGAGCTTACAGATAACACCAAAAACACAGCCAGCCGTGCTGTCGGGAATTACAGTCAACCCAACCTAAGCAGAGAAAAACAAGATTAATTACGGCTTCAAAACAGCCCCCCTCCTCCAAATAAAACCAAAACCTGTTAAATCATGATTAATTTTACATCAATTCTACTGAAAACTGATACATACCTAACACATGCCACCTGCCACACCTTAAGGTCCTGTTTTCCCTTTAGAATTTAATCCCTAAATGACTACGAAAACATGCAAATGCAAGAAGTGCTATTAACCCAATCCACTGCCTCCCCTTCATGACAAAATCTTCTAAAATCTTCTGTAAAATGTCTATTTATGGTTAGAAATAACTGCTTAAAGGGACTGTTTCATGCACTCAAAGAAAATCTTGCAACAATCATACTTAAAAATGTTTAGATTATTCAGGCTAGAAAACTCGTATCTGGCACCACTTCTATGCCAGGTAATTAAACGTATAAATAGTTCATTTAAAAATTAGCCTTCCCCTGCACTTTGATTTCGTCATTTAGACATAAACAAACATATCTCTACTGGAGTCAGTAAAAGATATTACTAAAGTTAACACTTGACTGCTTCACTGCCAAGAAACCCTGGCAGGGTCATTAGGGTTTGCTAATTCATCTAGAATATACTGTATGCATTGTTAAGGCAGAGTCTAACTTGTAACTGCATATATACATGGTTTCAATCTCCTGGAGACTACTGTTGAATAATTATCTTAACAAGTCTGCAAATTCTGATGTCTTAACTTCCTCCACAGGCTGTCTGAAAATAGTGGCCAAGACTTACTGGCATATTGATCTTTTACTAATGAATGTATTCAAAGGAGAATGTAATCTATGGAGTGGAGGTGGGGGAAAAAATTTGGCATCGTTGATGACACAGGGATAAGGACTGGAAGTTTGATGGCAGGGACAAAGTACTAGGAATTCAAAGCAGTACTCTCTTCGAACTCAAGAGAAATAACATTTTTAAAAGAAAAAAAGGGGTCTGGATGTGCCTATATTTTATCCAAACAAGTGTGTTTCCCAAAGATATAATTTGGGAGCCCTCTTTTGTACTACAATACATTATAATAAAAAGCCAAATATAAGAATGTAAACACTGGAGGAAGTTAGAAGCCACTACAGAGGTATACCTAATGTGAATTTTATACCAATGAAAATGAGACACCCAATATCAAATAACAGGTCAGTCTCAGGGTTGAGTCTCCAGCTTCCAGTGACCACACCTTGTGTCGGGTTAGATGATGTCCCTACTTTGGACTCCAAACCTTCTAGATGTTGAATTCTCAATAAACTGAGGCCAAGCAACTATGAATTACAAGAACATTCAAAGTTAGAAAGTATTTCAAGTTTAATTTTCAGGTCCCTATTTCACTGATGTAGAAAATGAGGTCCTAAGAAGAGACTTTTCTCAAGGTCACACCATTAAATTAATAACAACCAGGAAAAATACCAAGATTCCTTAGTTCTTGCCAATGCATCATGCTGCAAGAGGCTATGGTATCATTAAGCTTAGAATTCCAGACATGGTTTTTCTGTGGCTATGGTCAACTTTATCCTAATCAATGCATCTTGTGCTCTTTCCTGACAAAGTTTAAGGACACTTACCAAATGTTTACTGATGGCACTTTGCAGGATGTCAAAGCTCTGACTTCGGGCAGGAATAACCAATAGACTGTGGAAAACTGCCTATCAGAAAAAGAGAAAACCAGCAACCAAATCAGAATATTTTAGGTCAGAAACAAGTTCAATACACTCCTTTTTTTTTTTTTTTTGAGACAGAGTCATGCTCTGTCGCCCAGGCTGGAGTGCAGTGATATAATCCCAGCTCTCTGCAACCCTGGTGACCCAGCTCAAACCACCACACCTGGCTAATTTTTGTATTCTTAGTAGACATGGGGTTTCACCATGTTATCCAGACTTGTCTTAAACTCCTGGATTCAAGCAATCTACCTACCTCACACTCCCAAAGTGCTAGGATTACAGGTGTAAGGAATAGCTTCTTTTAATACTTACTTGCTCTGCATATTAATAGGAAGCACATAACAAATTACTTTGAAGATGCAAATGTCAAAGATCAAAGTAATAGATCTTATATATGGCCTAATTTTCCAAATAATTCATCCACTAATCATGTACTGAATATTGAGCTATCCCGTGTTAGGTGCCATGCACAGGAACAAAAGGAGGAGAAACCTCCTGTTTCTCACAACTCTCAAATACCTTATGGAGACTATACAGTAAGTCCTCACTTAACTTCAGCAGGTTCTCGGAAACTGTGACTTTAAGTAAAACAATATATATTGCAATCATTTTTTTCCCTAATCAGTTTTATTAAGAAATGTTTTTCACCTAGGCCTGGTGGCTCATGCCTATAATCCTAGCACTTTGGGAGGCTAAGGTGGAAGGACTGCTTGAGCCCAGGAGTTTGAGACCACCCTGGGCAACACAGTGGGACCTCATCTCTAGAAAAAAAAAAAGTTGGTCAGATATGGTAGCATGTACCTGTGGTACCAGCTACTCGGAAGGTTGAGAGAGGAGGAACATTTGAGCCCAGGAGATTGAGGCTGCAGTAAGCCATGATCATGCCAGTGCACTCTAGCCTGGATGACAAAGTGAGACACTATCTCCAAAAAAAAAAAAGTTATTCAGGGACCTGCCATGTATGTTATTTCAGTTTCCTAAGCAACCTACTGATGCTGTATTTCTGTTGAGTACTCCAACAGAAAGATCTGAGGGATGTGAACAAAGGGCTAACAAAAGCTTTTTTGCCCACCTCATAGAGAAATGTATCACAAAAAAATATTTATGACCCAGAAAATACCAAGATCCTGTTCAACCTAATCGTAACACTGCCTCCTACTCTCTAAAGGTAAAGAGAAATCTGCACCAAAAGTAGTGACAAGTAAAACTCTAGTTTTTTGTTTGTTTGTTTTGAGACAGTCTTGCTCTGTTGCCCAGGCTAGAATGCAGTGGCATTATCTTGGCTCACTGCAACCTCCACCTCCTGGGTTCAAGCAATTCTTTGCCTCAGCCTCCTGAGTAGCTGGGATTACAGGTCACCACCACCAGCACCCAGCTAATATTTTTGTTTTTAGTAGAGACAGGTTTCACCGTCTTGGCCAGGCTGGTCTTGAACTCTTGACCTCATGATCCACCCACCTTGGCCTCCCAAAGTGCTGGGATTACAGGTGTGAGCCACCACATCCAGCCAACCCCTAGCATTTTTAATTTCCTAAGCTTTTGGAAAAACGAGAAAAGTCAAGAACAGTACTAAGTCCTTCACAAATGTCAGTCATGGCACAAACTCCAGAATCTGATACAGTATGCTACCAAAAATGAAATATGTAGAAAAATCACATGAAAAAACAAAAATGTGGAAGGAAGAATGTCACTCTAGGAAGAGATAAGTCATTTAAGTTCAAGAGAACTGTCATCTAGCCCTGAAAAATCGAGACTTTTCATATCTATTATTTATAGATTTTAGAGTGGAGGGAGAGAAATCAACAGATCTATATATTATTTCTCTATAAAATATCTTGTATATTG